TCTGCCTCGTGTCCCAGCATGTGTGCCAGGCCCGTCACGTGAGTGGCACTGTCCATGTCAAGCCGTGCTGCGTGAGGAGGAACTGACCCTGTCCCACTGCAGGGCCAGGGACTTCCCAGCGCTGCGTCCCACCGCCGCGGGCAGGAAGTCAGCGGCCCCATTACAATGGGACTTTGTGCCGTAAGCGTATTACTCAGCACTGACCTTGTGCAATTCTGCACGGTATTCAGCCAGCTGGGTCAGCTCAGGACACACATGGCCAGAGCGCCCGCCGGCTGCCCCCGCACCCGGGGAGCCCCAGCTGCAGCCCTGGCTCCTGCCGTGCCCTTGTGGGTGCCAGGGCTCCTCTGCCCCATGGCAGCAGGGTGTGAGCCTGTCTCTCTGAGCCCAGAGCTGGGTTAATGAGGAGGAGGAGGAGGCATACAGTCATGCCTCACCGTCATTGCATGCCAGGTAATGACCGTGGGGCTGAGATGTCTCCTTCCTCCCCAGGGATCCCTGGAGGTGAGCCTGAGCCAGCCCACCCGCAGCAGCAGTGGCTCGGAGCGGTGAGTGTTCCCCTGCCCTGTGTCCCTTGTGTGGTGCTGCAGGAGCTGAGGGACTGGCGTGTTGTGGGAGGTTGCCCTGGTGCTGGTGTGTGCTCCATCCTCCTCACCGAGCCAGCACCAGGCTGTGCTGCTGTCAGGTGGAGCAGGGAGTGGCAGAGCCGGGACTGCCGTGCTTGTCCCCATCCCTGGCGCATCCTCAGGCACGTCTCCATCCCCCTGCCGTGCCGGAGAGCTTGACTGCCTCAGGCTTAGCTGATGGGGCTGTGCATGACTCCTCCTGTGCCAGGAGGCTCTGCCAGGCTGTGTCCATCAGCAGAGGCTGTGTCCTGGGGTGCTTGGTGCTGAGCAAGACGGGGTGCCGGGGCACAGGGGCCTGCTCGCTCGCTGTACGCGCAGTTCTGACGCTGCTGCCAACATTCCTTCCTGGTTGTTCATTTTCCGAATTCCTTGGCAGGGCCAAGACTGCAAACAGCTTATTTTTAGCCGGGGTCATTTGCACCCAATGACTCTGTTCCCACCGCAGGGCTGTGGGGTGCCCAGAGCCCCTGGGGACCCAGCTCATCCCAGCCCCGAGGCCAGCTCCCTGCTCAGGGGCTCTGGGAGACCCTCATGGGTGCCTGAGCTCAGCTCTGTGTTCTCCTCAGGTCCCTGCTCGTTGCAGAGGAGATGCGCAGCCTCATCGTGGACAAGGGCCCAGGGCCGGTGGAGGACGAGCCTGACGCTCTGGTGAAAGGTGGGATTGTGACCAGCGGGATGGTCAGGCCTGTGCAGACCCTTCCCCGTGCTGAGAAGCCGGTGGGGTGGGTGTCAGCGAGGCTGAGTGTTCCCCTTCCCAGGCTGGCTGCAGCGGGAGATGCGGGGCTGCATGAAGACCCCCTGGATCCGCCCTCGGAAGTATTGGTTCGTGCTGACCCCCGACTCCCTGGACTACTACAGCAGCAATGAGAAGGGGGCCAGGCGCCTGGGCTCCCTGGTGCTCACCAGCCTCTGCTCCGTGCTCTGGCCAGACAAGCAGCTCTACAAGGAGACGGGTGAGGTGCCCATGCCCCTTGGCCGGGCTTCATCTTCCCAGCACAGCTTGTACCCTGCGTTACCCTGCCAGCCCTGAGGGTCTGTTTAGCCCAGAGGAGAGGCTGTGCTGAGCCCTGGGGCGCTGAGCCAGCCTGGCTGGGGTGCTGGTGGGCAGTGGGTGAGTGGGTCTGTGCCTTGCAGGCTACTGGAGCGTGACGGTGTTTGGCAGGAAGCACTGCTACCGCCTGTACACCGAGCACCTCAACGAGGCCGTGCGCTGGGTGTGCGCCGTGCAGAAGGTCATTGACAGCAAAGCTCCTGTCCAAACACCCACCCAGCTGCTCATGCGTGATGTCGAGGTGAGCCCATGCCCGCAACAGCACTGGAGTGGGTGTTTGGGGCCTCACATGCCTCAGGGTGATGGTGGGGGTTTGTGCACTGGGGTGGGTGTTTGGGGCCTCACATACCCCAGGGTAGGTGATAGGGGTTTGTGCACTGAGATGGGTGTTTGGGTTTTCACATGCCCCAGGGTAGGTGATAGGGGTTTGTGCACTGGGGTGGGTGTTTGGGGCCTCACATGCCCCAGGGTGGTGNGGTGATAGGGGTTTGTGCACTGGGGTGGGTGTTTGGGGCCTCACATGCCCCAGGGTGGTGGTGGGGGTTTGTGCCCTGGGGTGGGTGTTTGGGGCCTCACCTGCCCCAGGGTGTTGGTGGGGGTTTGTGCCAGGTTACCCCTCTGCAGCTGTTGCTTTGCCCCCTCCAGGAGCACAGAGACAGCCCCGAGGTTCTGGAGCAGATCTATCGCTGCAACCCCATCCTGCGTTACACCAGCGGCCCCCTCTACGCCCCCCTGCTGCCCTTCCCCTACGGCAGCCTGGACCAAAGTGGTGAGTGGCAGATGGGGGGCACAGAGCTGAGTACTGCACTCTGGGATGGCAGCAGTGATGGCTGGGCTGCATGCTGTGCAGGGCAGGTGGGCACTGGGCTGGGGCCTGGCTGGCTCTGGGTGTGAGGACAGTGCCCAGCTGCTGGCAAGGGGTCCTGGGGAGCACCACAGGGCTGTTAACCCCTATCCCATCCCATCCCACAGCCCCTGATCCCACAGCTACACTGTGGGGCTGTTAACCCCTATCCCACCCCACAGCCACACCACAGGGCTGTTAACCCCTATCCCATCCCACAGCCCCCGGCCCCCGCAGCTACACCACGCTGCGTGACGAGGCTGTGAAGCTCTTCAACTCGCTGCAGCAGCTGGAGTCAGAGCGGGACCCGGTGCCGCTGATGCAGGGTGTCCTGCAGACCTGCCTGGACCTGCCCCCGCTGGTGGATGAGATTTACTGCCAGCTGGTGAAGCAGACTACGGAGCCGCCGGCGCCGGGCGGGCAGGGCGACCTGCACTACTGGCAGCTCCTCACCTGCATGAGCTGCACCTTCCTGCCCTCCCCGCCTGTCCTGCGCTTCCTGCGCTTCCACCTGGACAGGTGAGTGCCAGGGAGCTCGCCAGGTGCCGGGCGCCCCTCAGATCAGTGCCACCCTGATCCTCCTGGCATTTCTTGCAGGACAGAGAACCGTTTCCCCACCTCGGAGATGGCCAAGTACGCTTGTTTCATCCGAGAGGCGCTGGGAAAGACGAAAGGGAGGGAGTGTGTGCCCTCTCTGGAGGAGATCCTGGTGCTGATGCAGCGGCAGGAGATGATCTGCACAGTGCACTGCCCTGGGGCACCTGCCTGCAGTGTGGCCATCAGTTCCCACACCACAGCCGAGGAGGTGAGGGGTTATGGCTGTGCCAGGCAGGGGGCTGGGGACATTTTGATGCACAGGGTTGGGTGGGCAGAATGCCACAGCAGGTGAGCAGGGTCTCTCCCAGCTGAGCCATGGTGGAGAGGGGCCAGGAGCTGTCTGCCTTTGCCCACCATGACCTGTCTGTGTCCCTTTACAGCCCTGAGTGCCGTGGCCAGGAACACGTAGTCACCATCGGTTGCCTTTGTCTCGCCCAGGTGGCCCAGGAACTTGTGTCACGCCTGGGGCTGTCCCAGAGCCCCAACCTCTTTGCGCTCTACGAGCAGTCCCGGCGACGGGAGCAGCCAGTGGGCAGTGCCACGCTGCTGGCTGATGTCCTCACCAGGTTTGAAAAGTAAATGTCCTGTTCTGCTGCCTATGGAGGGGAGGGGCTGGGGGACCATGGGTGGGAGGGGACAGATGGGTATGGGGCACGTTCACAATCTAATGGAGCCACTCCTGTCTGCTGCAGCCTGGCTGGAGAGGACCGGGAGCAGGACCCACCGTGCCGGCTCTGCTTCAAGCACTACGGCTTCCTGGACACAGACAACGTGCCCCGGGACAGCCTGGAGTTTGCCCTCCTCTTTGAGCAGGTGAGTGGCACACCAGGGTGGCTGTGCCATGGTGGCCGTGCTGTGGTGACCATACCGTGATGGCCATGCCATGGTGGCCGTGCCAGCTCACCCTGCTCTCTGCCAGGCGCACGAGATGGTGCTGCGGGGCTACGTGCCCACGTCGGAGGAGACGCTGCAGACGCTGGCGGCCCTGCGCCTGCAGAGCCTCAACAGCGACTTCTCCACCCACGCGCCCTTCCCGCGCCTCGAGGAGCTCTTCCCTCCCCACGTGCTGCACGCCCGCCTGCCGCCCCTGCCCCACCGGCCCCCCAAGTGCCGCGGGGCCCGGCTGCGCGCGGGGCTGCTGGCCGGGGGGCTCTGGGGCCAGGCCCTGGCCAAGCAGCGGGCGGAGCGGGACCAGCGCCTGCGGGGCCGGCTGCGGGAGGAGGGGGCCAGCACCATGGCTGCCATCGTGGAGAAGTGGAAGCTGCTGCAGGGCATGGGCCGGCCCGAGGCCATGGCTGCCTACGTGGCTTTGGTGCGGGAGTGGCCTGGCTTTGGCTCCACGCTCTTCGATGTGGACCTGCAGGCGGTGAGGCCCCGGCTGGGGGTGGTACAGGGGTGGTACTGGGGGTAGTGGGCAAGCCTGACACACCCCCCTCTCCCTTGCAGAGCCCAGTGGGCGCCGGGCCCCAGCGCCTGTGGCTGGGCATCGGGGCCAAGGCTGTCTCGCTCTACAAGCCGGGAGAGCCCGAGCCCTTGGACAGCTTCTGCTACGGCCGCATCTCCTCCTTTGGTGCCTCTGACAGCAGCACCTTCCGCCTCTCCGTGGAGGACCGAGACCT